ACTACCATCTAGATCTGCTATTGGTATTTGGAATGGTAAATGTAATCATACGTATATCAAAAGTATATTGATTGCTTTAGTGCATCCTACACTAGTATTTCAGAGATCAGTTTGATTCAAAGTCTGCATAAAAACAAGACATTATTGAATATGTACCAGGTATATAATTTTGTATTATTCCAATGGTCTACGAATGACCTTTGTTTTTTTAAATAATTGCTAATTTGATTGAAAAAAATTTATAGATTTGTGCTTTTCTTTTTATTTCACAATCTGATTTGCAAGGTGACAAAACTGGTAGTGATACAAATGTGATAGACCTGATTACTTGATTTGTACATAATAAAAATCCAGAAAATTATTAGATTCCAGAATCCATGGAATATTGGAAGAACCACGTTGATTAATTAATTCTTTGCATATTAATTATCCAACTTGCATACAAATTTGCCAATTTTTAGATTATCTTTTCTATTTTGGAAGCATTTACTATCATGTATTTGATAAAATTCTTAAAGTTGATAGACATAATTTTCTTAATAATCTTTGCTTATTTATTATCTAATTTGCATAATAATAAATACATTTTCAGTTATAATTGAAGAAGAATAATATACATTAAACATAATATATTTTAATGAAACTTGATACAAAACTGCTTTAAGATGACCCAAAGACATAAATACTAAATGTGTATATATTTTAATTATTTACCTAATTTGCATGACACTAAAGTTTTAATTTATTTATTTAGCATACTTTAAGACAACTTTATAGATTTCAATAACATTTAATACTTGGGTTACATGTGGCAAATCCAAATCTGTATGTGTTAATTACCTATTTTAGTAATTAAGCTACTTTTAGATTTGTCTTGAAGCACTTTTTAAAGCTACAATAGCTGTAACTATCGATCATTTTTATTCATTTTTTATTTTTAATCAAACTTTTTTTGTGACAATTTGTAACGGCCATCGCCGAGGCACTGAAAGCATAGGATATATATTTATTGTAATCTAACTGTAAGACCGTCACTGATTTGCTTCTGAGTTGAATGACGATTTCAGGTTCACCAACACCCGGGAAACTGTTCTATGTTCCTTGTGTAATTACATGAAGATGTTTGTATGCAAGTGTTTTCTCCACACGAAAACAATGAATTCGGTTTGTTAGCGATTGGCTTAATATTACCCAGACAGAACGTTTGGCTATGAAAGATTGGTATTTTTTTCCTGATTTTATATAGGAACCTAAAAAACGTGTTTCACAACTTGTCTCTTTATTTAGTTTCATGCCGTATTCAAGATGGCGGCCCCATATAGTAAATTAGTAAATACTTTATTTATTCTATTATCACTTCTGCGCCAACTGACTGTGGGTGAAACCATGAGTCTACCTCGTGAGCATTTGAAACTTTTTTCAATATCATTAAAACATTGCATATAAACATTTGATGTATGCATCATAGATGGTTAACCAACAGCCATTTAGTTTTTCAAATTTAAGCTCTGCATTTACTGTAATTTGATTGTAAATTTATTACTATTTTTATTTTGTTTTCAATCTAATCAAAGATAGATGATTGATAGAAGTGGTAGCTATTTTCTTTTTACAAATGTATAATTCATATTTAATGTTCACCAACACTTTCCATGTCTAACTTTTTTTTTTCCAGTAATGTGTGGTGGATTTTTATATATAAATAATTTGAGGGTGTACATGTACACAAAATCTGGTTAAAGTATAATGTTGTTGTAGCAAAAAAATCAAAATATAGATTTTGCTTCTCATCGTTACGTGCGTCAGTTTGAAAACCTGTACCTGCAAATACTTTTTTTTTTTTGAAAGGTGACGTGTTTGGTTGATTCAATTGATTGTGATTTTCTCTGGACAATGAGCATAACCTTTTTTTTACCTTAGTATTTTACCTTAGTGACTAAATTTGTGTTTATAACCGTGTGAATAGATGGTTGTAAGAACTACAATAACATATATTGATTGTTAAGCATTTAATCAGTAACTTTTTATGAACAAGATTTTTACTCCATGAAAGTCTACTACTTGTATTCTTATATATTTTCATGACAAATAAATACAAACAGGTACAAATAAATTTGTAAACAGTATATATGTACTTCTTTTTTATCAAATTTGTTTATGAATTAAAATGGTAACAATACCATTAATCTGTTTTTGTGAATACATAATTATATGTATAATAATATCTTTATTTCATACTGTGGCCATTGGCCTTATGTACAGATACAAATAAATACATAATAAATTAGATTGGAATGGTCGCAGAAATAAGTAAAGAAAAACAAATATAAAATCATAATACATAACATTTGCATAATTAAGTGTTCTCTCCCAGCATAAGTTGTCGTACTTGAAAACTATAAAATATAAATTTACCAAGGTTTAATTGTATATATGGGGTTTTATTCTGAAATGATGAAATAAACTTTATCTCTGTAGTGGGGAGTAGTAATACTGTGCAATAAACTTCAACCTTAGGAGTTATATTTGGGACAAACTAATGTAAAGTGGTATTCGTCCTCAATTACACTACAGCC